AGATAAAGAAACTCATATAAACGAGTAGAAATAAACCAATCCGTCGTAACAAGAGTTCACATAAGGTTTGTGACCCTAACTACAATAAAGAAAACTTAGCCAACCATTATCATGGCTGATAAATTCAATGTTACTTGAGAATGTAGATGGAAGAATAAAGAAGATCAAGAATTTCTCTCCGGAGCTCTCCTTCTGACGCACAACGGTCTCCTTAGGTCCTTTTTATAATCTTCTTTTTCATCTTCCAAAATTATCCTTGTGGACAGAACGCGACTTCAGTTCCCGCAATCTGGCGCTCTCAGCGTCAGATCCACGCCAAGGGCGTGGTTGCCTCTGAATCATCACGCCATCAACGTGAACTCCACGCTATGAGCGTTGGAGAAAGAATGGTTTCACGCCATCAGCGTGACATCCACGCTATGAGCGTGGATCTTCATTTTGGCAAATCTCCATTTGGCTTCAGTTTTGTCTGCTTTTCTTACAAAATCAGCATAAAATCAGTTGAACAATCCTGGATTTGAAATTTCAGCAAAGCAACAATAAACGTTGCCTTTTTACTCAGAATTAACCAATAATCTTCCTCTTTTTGGCTTGAATTTACCCATATGCTGAAGGCATATCAGTAAACATGTGAGAATCACCCAGAATGAACATGGAATAGTCCGCCTTGGCTTGTGAATAACCAAGGGAGAGCAAAGCTGAAGAAAGCTTGGCATACCATTGCCTGTTTCAGTCCATAAAGTGACTTTTTAAGTTTGCAAACGAGCTTGGACTTAGCTGAAAGACCTTAGGGCTGCTCCATATACACATCTTCGTAGAGATCACCATGCAGAAAAGCATTATTCATATCCAACCGTTCAAGATTCCACCCTTTAATAGCAGCAATTGCAAGCAATGTTCTGACAAAAGTAAGCTTCGCAATTGGAGAGAAAGTATCAAAGTAATCAACTTCTTCTTGCTGAGTAAATCTCTTAGCAACTAGACGTGCTTTGTAACACTCAATAGATCCATCTGAATGATATTTTATTTTGTATACCCATTTGCATCTTATGGGCTGTTTTCCATCAGGTAGTTCCACAAGTGACCAAGTGTTGTTTTGTGCAAGGGCAGACAATTCATCTTGCATAGCTTTTTGCCAATGTTCATGCTTGGAAGCTTGAGAATAGGTGCGAGGCTCATAGTGAATGGATGAACTAAAGCAGAAGTTCTCATATGAAGGTGAGAAAATATCATATGATATGACATCAGATAAGGGATGTTTAATGGAGTTAGGATTACCTGGAGATATATTGGCATGATGAGTAGCTGAGAGGCCATAGTGATAGTCTAAAAGGTAGTGAGGAGCAGTACGTAGACATGATGATCGACGAAGTGCTGCTTCTGCTAGATTATCGTGACTCAGAGCTGCTGTGTCTATATTGGTAGCTTCCGTGTTAAATGTTTCTATAGGTAGGTTAGGTATAGGATTTGGTGTAGGTTCTGTGTTTGAGGCAAGTATAGGATTTGGTATAGGTATTGTGCTACTAGGTGTTAAGTCAAAAGAAGTATCAGGAGGAGGTGATTGATGTATAGTGTTAGGTGAGTAGGTTTGATAAAAAGGGAAAAAGGATTTCATAGAAAACCACATTCCTAGAGACGAATAAAGAATGTGATGTGAGATCATAAAGCAAGAATCCTTTGGTTCCTTCTCTATACCCAAGAAATGCAGCTTTTCTTGCTCTTAGACTAAATTTGGTGCAATGAGACTTGAGAGTGGAAGCATAGCACAGACTCCCAAATACTCTGAGGTGAGAAAGGCTAAGTAATGATCCATAAAGGATTTCGTAAGGGGTTTTATTGTCAAGGTTGGGAGAAGAGGTATGGTTAACTAAGTGTGATGCATATGTCACAGTATAAGCCATAGGGTAATAGGTAATTATGCTTGGAAATACAACGCTCGAGCCACATTGAGTAGGTGCTGGTGCTTGCGCTCTACTATTGCATTCTGCTTCGGAGTTTCAACACAAGTAACTTGATGAATAATACCTTTTTCTGAGAAGAATTGGTTTATGGAAAATTCATTTTCATTATCACTGCGAAGAATCTTGATCATGGTCTTGAACTGGTTTTCAACATAGGCCAAGAAATATTTGATGTGTGCTCGTGTTTCACTTTTAGTTTTCATTAAGACTACCCAAGTGAAGCGAGAATGGCCATCTACTAAAGTTAGGAAATATTTATAACCATGTATTGATAAACTGCTAAAAGGACCCTATATATCCACATGAAGAACATCAAATATCTTCTCTGTTTTATTAAGACTTGAAATAAAAGGAAGATGTTTATGTTTGGCCAAGTGACATGCATCACAAGGCTTTATATGAGAGTTATGAATAAAAGGAAATTGTGATGACATAGTACGTAATACAGTTTCTGAAGCATGACCTAAAAGTCTATGCCATAAAGATGAACTATCTGAAACACAAGATGAATTATTCATAGTACAACTATCTTTCTTCTGCACTTTGTGTTAACGGTTGACAACACCATTTTTTACTATCATATATAGACCTCTATTTTGCTCAGCAATACCAATCATCTCCTGGGATTGAGTCTGTTTAATATGACAAAAAGAGTCAAAGAATGTGAGAAAACAATTAAGAGATATTAATAACTTTGTAACAGATATCAAGTTGACATGAAATTCAGGTACTAAAAAGCACATCTGTTAAGATCAGTTTTGGTGACAAATAAACTGAACCAGAATAACAAGAAATGACTTGTGTGCCATCGGGAAGATTAATTGTGATTGGCTCAATTTTATGAAGACTCATGAAACATGAAGTAAGATGGGAGATGTGATCAGTGGCTCCAGTGTCCACAATCCACTGATCACTCAAAATACCTGATACATTGGTGTCAGCATTTGAGACTTGTACTGCATTTGTATGATGAGATGTTGAAGCACAGAATTGTTGTTGTGCAAGATCGAGAGAATATGTTGATATTGATCTTGAGAAATCTGATTATTAGTGGTCACATTGGAATTATTAGCTTCAGTGGACACATTATTTGCAGTGCGAGTATCTGAGATTCTTGAACGGTATCCAGGAGGATAACCATGTAGCTGATAACAGGTTTCTATAGTATGATTTGATCTTCCACAATGTGTGCAAATCCTGCCTCCAGATCCACTTCCAGCACTGTTTCTTCCAGTAAATCCACGTCTTCTTCCATGTCTTCCTCCGTTTGGAGCAAATGATCTGCTATTATTATTTGTAGTGTAGCTTTTGAACATAGCAAATGTTTGAGAAACAATATTACCTGATTCGGATCCAAATTTCCTTTCCTGTTGAACAATCATGGAAAACGCTTTATTGATATTAGGCAAAGGATCAATAATCATGATTTATGATCGAATCAAAGTATATTGTTCATTGAGTCCTTTCAAGAACTGAATTACATGATCCTTATCACGATATGCTCGTACTTTCAACATCGCTCCACAAGCACATGGAGGAACACATTCACACGTAGGAAGAGTGTTCAGATTCTCCAGCTCGTCCCATATCGTCTTAAGTTCAGGGAAAAATTCAGCAACTGGAAGTTCGCCTTGCTGTAATTTGCATATTTCTTCTTGAAGGTCTGAAATACGAAAGATATCAGTCTGAGAAAATCTTTCTTTGAGATCCAACCAGGCATCACGAGCACACTCTATCCAAAAGATGGATCTTGCAATGTACTCAGAAATTGATCTGTGAATCCATGCTAAAACTGTTGTATTGCGTCGTTGCCATTGAGAGTAAGTTGGATCATCAATATTAGGAGGAATAATACTACCATCAATCAAACCGATCTTGTTTTTAGAAAGAAGAGCTATTGTCATGCTTCGAGCCCATGTGTGATAGTTATTATCGGTTAATGGTGGTGATACCAAAACCAGTGATGGACTTTCATTTGGATGCAAGTATAGTGGATGAGAAGGATTAGTGTTAAAATCGGGAGCAAAAGCCATTGCTATGAGGGAAAAGAATGATTTGATTACAAGAAAGAAATGAGATTAACGAAGCAAAATACCAGAGCTCTTTTCAGAGCTCTGATACCATATCAGAAATGAATAATACTGATATCATTGAATGAGTGAAAATTTACACACAGTGACCCAATTTATATGGGGCTCAATACATAGCAAAGTTCAACTAACTCTAACTAATTACAACCGTGCCAACGTCTCAACAAAAATTTGTTAGCTGCTATCTTTCATGATCTGTTCTTCGTGTGTAAGTATTGGACACTTCATGAACTGCTACTGCTTGGGCTTGGGCTTGAGGATCAATGGACTCGGGTAATACACTATGACCCTAATGCCTTGCCTGAGATCACAGGAATCAACTATAGAGATATTGTGGTTGAGAATGTGACCATTGCAGCTAGGTTTGAAGGAATCTCCAATGACCCGTTTACAGGAATCTACATTGCCAATGCTACAATTGGGATGGCAGCCAAGGCCAAGAAACAGCCATGGACATGCACTGATATTCAAGGGATCACAAGTGGGGTGACCCCTCCACCTTGTAGTTTGTTATCTGATCAGGGGCCAGAGAAAATTACAACATGTGATTTCCCAACAGAGACTCTACCTATTGACGTGTTAGAGCTTAAGAAACGTACTTACAACATGAAATATGTTAGGATGTATTAAACTACGAAGGTTATTTATTTAAGAATAGTCTTTATAATCCAGAAAGCTTGAGAAATGCATGATTTGTCAAATTATAGTAATGAAACGATTTTCTTTTCTTTTCTTGTCTCCTCTCCTAGTTTCTGGAACTTGATGGCTTCATGCTGCTAAAGTTTCAAAGTTAATCAAAATTGGCTAGTTAAAGTCTTGCTATTAGTATTCTTTACAGATTCATTCAAATCAAGCACAAAACTGAAACAAGTGGTCATGGCAGGTTAGCAAGCCAAGGTGTTTTCTGAAAATCTATTCAATCAATAATAAATCATTTCATTTTATGTCTTACAATGCGCATAATGTCTGTCCCCACAAATGAAATGTTTTCTTGTCTAATTTTTGTGAGTCTTTTAACTGTTGCCCCTAGTCTAAGCTGAAAGATAGAAATAGACCAACAAGGAGTCAGAGCTCCTGGATATTCCTGCTGAAACCTTTTGAGTAATGCTGCTTAGCTTCGGATCATTCCAACAGGACATCTCAACAATACAATCATCCAAGAATGTGAGCTAAGAATTAAATAAAAGACAACCAACCTCACACCAGTCTCATTGAATCTCGATATAATTTACCTAAAAAATCTCAATATGACCATCATGTTTAATACTTTAGTGGAGAACTGACAACTTCTCAGTAGTCTTGTAAATCAGTCATCTAGGATTTTACTATGCACATACAACAGCAAATGCAAAATCTCAATAAATAGGTGGATCGGGATTGAACTTCACAGACTCTCTCCAGATGAGTTCCTTGATATCCTCTTCAGTGAAAGACGGTTGCTCAAAATCAAAACTGAAAGGTCTAGGACAAACAGGTTCCTCGTTAATATCATGGAGTGGTGCCAAGTATTGGTGGCACAGAGCCTCCTCAACTGCAAAGCATCAAGAAATAACGTACCATCAATAAAAATATAGACAAAGAGAACTCAGTCTATAAAACACTACTGCGGATATCTTGTCAAAAAAACATTAGAATCTTTACACTATGGACAAGCTTATCACAAGCAGTAAGCAAGCTCTGGCTTGCAGTTGGATGAACAAATGCATAATTTTTTAATACTTTAAAATTAATAGAAACTTAGAAACAGAACAAAGAATTGAGATGATAATTTTACTTTTTATAACAAATTAAATTTGGAGTAAAGCCCCTTTGGGATCCTTAACAAAAAACACGGTCCCCACTTTCGTCCCTTACAAAAAAAATACCCATATTAGTCTTTTTTTATGGACTAAATTAGATCTTCATTGAATTTCTGAAAGATCACATTTTCAAAGAACTGGAATTGTAGAGAGACCAAAAGTTGAATTTTTTTTTGTAAGGAATGAAAGTGGGAACCGTGTTTTTTGTTAAGGACTCAAAAAGAGCTTTACTCTTAAATTTGAATTGTTACCAACATTTAGGTTTTGGAGAATTACATAGCCTGGCTGAAGAATTGGTTTTCGACAAAACACAATGGCATCATTTCGATTCATGTAACCAGCCCCATCTAGTGAAAAAAGGTTTTAACCGTTGTTGATTGATGTAACCATTAACCAACATTCAATATTCATTGTTATTAGAGACTAATACTTCAGAAGAAGAAAAAATTAATGAGCATGGCATAGCAAGTTAATCATGGTGAGCTTTCCAGGATTTCATGTCCAAAGATTAGAGTGTTGATGAATTCACAAAACTAGTTGGATTGAATGACATACAGACAACACATGTTCACCAACAGGACCCAGTTAACCAAAAACAATCTGGTAATTGATCTGGTTGTTCTAACCTAAGAAATCAGTGGAAGTCAGTAAACACTTCACAAATTTAGAAGGCCATTTTTAAAAAACAAAATTACAAGAATTGTACCTATGAAAAGGAAGGAAGAGAAAGCATGACATTTTACCTGTAATGCGTCTGTTTGGATCAAAGATAAGCATCTTCTCTAACAAATCAACAGAACCAGGAGACATATTGGGAAATCTAGCAGCAAACTGTTGCTTTGGATATTGAGGAAGCTGTCTTACATATCTACGAGCATTATCACTTCGTAGAAATCCAAGGCTAGTGTCATCCGGTGAACCTATGAGCTTTTTAAAGCAAGGAAAATTTGTCATGCTAATATCAAATTTTAAACATGGAGACTAAGTCTAAAAAGGATCGAAAGAATGAGAGAGTTAGCAATCTATCCAGTCATATTTTATTCATTTTCCAATTATCAAGTTGGAGTTCTCCATCCTATATTCCCAAAAAAAATGAACAAAAAAATAAAAGACATGGTGATGCAGGTTCATAGTGATGCATGCAAATTCATAATTTTTCATTTAGACATGGTGTTGCAGGCTATATAATCCACTGAATACAGAAGAGAAGACATAATCTAAAGATCCAAAAATTTCACTAATTTGGTTTTTAGATTTTATTTTTTACCTGACTCTAACATTGCAACAGACTCAACAACAACCAAACTTATCCTGTTAAGTGGAGTCCTATCAAAAACCAACTTTTCAGTAAATCAATTACATCAGACTATCTTCAATTTGATCCAATTTTCTTAGTGGAGCCTCTCTTGGTCTTCTACTCATATAACCAAACCACCTTAGATGAGTTTTTGTTATCTTCTCTTCAATTAGGGTTAAATTAGTTTATAGTTAACATGTATTCTCAGGCATCCGGGGGTTTTAGCAATTTTCATTACGGTCCTTCCTAGAGTTGGGGATCTAGTGTTTTAGTTTTGTGGGCTTCTCAAATAATAGATATTTAGGCTTTCTTGAGTTTATTAGAGACTGACTAGTTAACTTGGGTCCTAAGTTGTGGACTACTTGGTGCACAAGTTTGACTAGCCCTATATAAGTTCTGTAACCAGCCACAAAAGATAAACAGTGAATGATGAAATCATTATCAGGGAAAAACCCTAGCCACCAAGCTCAAGATGAGTCTCGTATTCTTCGGTATGAAAACCTAAGGGACACTTGAAGAGATTCTTGACTTTTTTTTTTCTTATGCCATCAGATCGGATTCCTTTTGACAGAGACTTCATAAAAATTCCAACCACCAAGCTATATAATTATTTTTTTTCTTATCTTCGGAAAATTAATGTCCTCCTCAAACGCTTTGACTGCACCCTTATTAGGTTGAGTTAGGTCATGTTGAGTATAAGCAATGTCGAAGTCAATTCTTTCAGTGATCATGTCGCTCATACCCTTTCTACTTAACCTACACCTAACCTATCAACCATGACCAAGGCCAGGTTCTCTTAGTTCTGGTTAACAATTTAATAAAATAAATAAATAAACAAACAAACCCAACCTGACTATATGGTCAAGTTGGTAAATACATGATTTATCAACCAATAATAGTCAAATGATGTCATAAGAAGGGTGCAGTCACCCTTCTTATGACATCATTGCTAGCATACCATCACAGCCCCACATATTCCATATGAGCCTTCATTTTCTCTAATTTCTAACCTTAATTCTCCCAAAATAAAACCTAATTTTGATCCATTGAATCCTGTGCCTTTTGCTGTCATGTGTCAAATGATCCACATGGACTATGTCCACAGAGCATTTTTTTTCTCTGTCTATTTAATTACAAGGGGATCCAAGATTCTGGCTTATGAAGGAAAAATAAAAATGGATGAAAGCATACTTGCAATTCAGGAGTCAGAAGTAAAAAGTTTCATTTAAGATCTCTGGCTAATAGTCAAATACCTCTGTGATCAATCTGAGCTGATGAACATAATCTTTCCCAGGAAATAGGGGTTGTCTTGTCATGATTTCACCAAGGATGCAACCAACAGACCATATATCAATCGCTGCAGTATATTCTGAACAATTAAGAAGCAATTCTGGAGCTCGGTACCATCGAGTAACCACATACTCAGTCATAAAATCAGTTTCAGACGTAGTTCTAGCAAGACCAAAGTCTCCAATCTTAAGATCACAATTGGCATTCAGTAGCAAGTTGCTAGGCTTTAGATCACGGTGTAGAACATTTGCTGAGTGTACATATTTGAGTCCTCGTAACAACTGATACAGAAAATACTGGAAAATGTATCTTATCAGTCACTGCAACAGTTTAATTACGTTTTAAATATATAATATTACAAAATCCATGTATGTTGAGTACTATTTTAATTCAAAACAAGAGAAAAAAAAAAATACTAAGAGAAAGCCCAAGGAGAATATGTTACCCAAGCTATCTCTTGGGAATTTTGATTCAGCTAATTCAAACAAGCACTTTATCTTCAGTTTGGGCAACAATACTACAAAGGAGAATATGTTACCCAAGCCATTACCTAAAGACCTTTCAATGAGTTAAACATTAAATGGCATATGCTAAAAGAAATAGTTGTAGTGCTAACCCGACAATGATCATCAGTCAATGGTTGATTGGAACGAATTATTTGATGCAAATCAGTATCCATTAACTCATAAACAATGTACACATCATTGAAGTTCTCCTTCTGTGGTGGTCGTATAATGTCTTTAAGGGCTATCACCTGCATTGGAGAAGTAACTTGTAAGTAAGCAGCCTTTTCTGAAATTGAATTCTAATAAAGATTGTAGAATCAAAATACAATGTGGAAAATCCAATCAGGAAACTTTCATGAATCAAGGAGAAGGTCTAGCTAGAGACTGACTGACAATGTAACAAGTATTTGTTCTAGAGAAATCATCATCTGTTGATGCATTTAAGCATAAAGAAATCATTCCAAACCAACAGAATTTGAGTAAGAATGTCCAAACAAACCTACTTACAAACCAATAACATGATACTCTCCATGGTCTAATTTACTCCATCCAAAAGCATGTTTTGTTTGATAAACTGAGATTAGATGATAGTGAATGAACCAGTAAGCTTAGATAGTTGAATTTTCAGCCTAACAAATAAAAAACCTAGACATCTGGAGAAAATATTGTACAGTAATATATGCGTAAGTAACACAAAGCCGATATATATTAGAATCACATCTAGACTTCAAAACTTTGCATTATGCCCCAGGATATTCTACTGCACTGGGACATTATGTACTACCAAAATCTTTAACCAACATAGAAAAATGAATTGAAGATATCAAGTAATGTTGCTCAGGGATTAGAATTTCATGTGACCGTAACACGAGTTCAAACGCTGTGGCTTTCATAATATACTAATTAGAAAACAAAAGAAGAAAAAATACCTGGCTAGTTGTTAGATTAACTATAAAATGGTATGAAGGGTATAAATTTCTAATAAGGAAAAAAAATGCAACCCAAAAGAAAATTTAATGTAAATATATCAAAGCAAAAGTTCTATCACCATATCTTGATATCAGTTAACCATTTAAGCCAGAATACACTGACCATATATTTTGATATATTGCAATGAGTTTAGAATTTTTCAAAAGACAAATAGTATAACCAAAAAGTATATAAATGAATACTTCTGAATTATAGACATGTTCATGGGAACTAAAACAAATGCCTAATTTAACCATACAACAGGCATTTCTTATCAATAAAACATAATTTAGCAAAAGAGCATTACCAATATGCTTTAAAGGTCCTTTCATCACTAGTAACACATGGAAAATTTGCTTACAGTTGCAGATATAACCAAAAAGGCAGAAACAAAAAAGAAAATAAAGGAGACAATAACAAGTCAAATAGGATCATTCATACCGCCACAGATGAAAAATGGCATCCCCTTAATATCCAAAATTAAGAAAAAAAATAGAATAACAACATAAATGAGGGAAACAAGGTTAGATGTGAGAATGCAAGTAAAAAAGTTAAACTAGAATTACATTTTCGTGATCCATGTGCCGAAGAAGTTTAATTTCTCGTAAGGTCCTTTTGGCATCTATTCTGTTGTCAAATGCATTGCCAACCTTCTTAATGGCAACTTCTTCAAGTGTCTCCGCATTTACAGCAGCACTGAAGGAAACGAAAAAAATAATATTGTTGATGACAGAATCTAAATCCACATGAATGAGAACAGATGAATTATTGTCAAACACACCAAATTCTAAGAAATCGTCCACAAGATACATATTATCTTCAGTTTAACGAGTCTGAAAATCCTGAGGATTGTGTTATATTCAGTGTCAATCACCTGAACATAGATACCAAAAGAATGATCCTATCTCATTTTGAATTCGGCTCAAAAAGAACCAAACATCCTTGTATGCTAAAAGAATAGAAAAGTTTTACATTTGATGGTCATCATTGAAGACAATTAAGATACATTCTCAAAGGCCAGTAAAGAAGACAGTGGGAAGCTTGACCCAACAGATGTCCCCAAAAGGAAAATGAGAACTTGAGGCTATAACACTTCGCATAATACCAAACGTACAGAACTAGATAGAATTAAATAAATCCCACAAGACTAAATCTTAATTCTAATCAAACTCAAACAACGACAGGATAGATTTTTAATCTCAAGAATCACAATCAGCTCAGTACAGTAGCCCGCATTAAGCTCATCATCATCACCAAAATAACCACTACAATCCTCATCCATACAACTAACAGAACATGCCAAACGTCTACTTCACATAAACCCCGTGACAAAAGTCTAGAATCACAAACCAGTAACCATCAAATGAACTAACTAAAAATAAACATATTCCAACAAACACACAGTCACTGACGATTTCTGAACTCCCCCTTACATTCAAATTCTATATATCTCAATACGCCCCCTTCACACAAGAGCTCATTGGGCTTGAAGAGTGGACAATTAAGAAATGTCACAAGATAAGGTGGGGGCGGCGAAGCTCTGATACCATATTAAGAACTGGGTGAGAGTGCCCAAGACCTTATAAACTCCACGTTAGTTGCACGTACAACCAACGTGGGACTATATATCTCAACAAAAATCAACAAAAGGCTTCTGACTAAAATCAAAGCCAAGTGTTCCACACCCCCAGAAGATGCAAGCAACACAAAGCTAAAACAAAGGCAACCCTTCACCCCAAAACACCTCACAAACAACAAAAGCAACACAGAAAACAAATCAATTCAGCCAAAAAGTCTCAACCCTACAATTTTTTTTTCCCTTACCAAACAATACCATAAGCTCCTCTTCCCACAGGTCGGATAGGAGGGACATATTTCCTGGAGACCTCGAAGAGGTTGCCATAGATATTGTATTGAACATAGCGTCCACCATGAGTGGGAACTCCTCTGATGTTATTGTGTTCAGCTGAAGCTGTAGCTGACTCAAGAGACATGTCTGGTGTTGAAGGTCAGAATCCAAAACCAGAAAAAATGGGAAAGAGACACAACAAAGAAAGCAAGGATTTTTAAGAGAAGGGAGCTAAATTGGTAAAGTGGGGTGTGCTGAATTTGGAAGGTAAGTGTCGGTAGAAGTAGAAGTCTAATTTGACATTTCTAGGCGATGTTTTTGAACACAGTAGAGGAGAGAGAAAATGTGTATGTGAGAGAGAGAGAGAGAGTAGGTGTATTTGTTGTTTGCGTAAGCGTGTGTGTTGACCATTGAAGTTAGGCTTTTGAACTGGAAACGCTCGTGTGAACCCGTGAAGATGCGGTACTTTTTTGGAGCATTGCTTTTTAAGCTTTTCTTCTAATGAAGATTGAACTGCTCATGCTATCTGTGAATTTTGTCTCTGATTTTTAACTTCCAATGTTTCATTTTTCTTTTTTCTTTACTCATTTTGTTGGCATTTGAAGTTTTGATTTTGGGTAGGGAAAATCAAATTGATGTTATATAAAGAATCAATTTAAGTCAAAAGGTTAGTTGTTAGTAAGGCTACATTAATGATTTTATATATATCAACATGTCCCCTCACACGAGAATCCACTGGACTAGAAGGGTGGATAATGCACAGGTCCACCTAACTGTATGTGCAAAGAAAGAAATTCAACTAAAAAGAAAGTGGGAGATGGCCCACCTAACTGTGCAAAGAAAGAAATTCAACTTGGGAGACGGCCCCACCTAACTGTGCAAAGAAAAAAATTTAACTAGAAAGAAAGTGTGGTGGTGAGGATCAAATCCAGTACACCGAGGCTCTGATACCATTTAAAGAATTAATTCAACTCAAAAGCTTAAGCTTTTGGGTGAGGCTATATTAATAATTTTATATATGTCAAGATGTTATTTGTTTGCTTTGTTTGAATTTTTCTAAACATGATTTTATTTTTTTTAAAAGTTCGTTCCGTATACAGAATAGTTACTAATTGTTAGATTTAAAATTATGTACATGAATCTAACTCCCTTGATTGAAACCTTTACTTGTAAGTTTTTTTTTTTTTTTTTTTTTTTATAACAATACTTGTAAGTTTTTAATATGAGATTGAATGCTTCTTGATAAATCATTCATTTTTTATTTTTATTTTTTTGGAGTTACTCAACCTTAATTACTTTTTTGAGGCGAGTTGGCTCCCTCCGGTATCCCCACAAGCTTCAACTCTTTGAGCCGGCTATGGGACTAATCCGGAGTGATGGCTAAAGGTTCAGCCCCCTCCCCAAGAATGCATTCAGCGGAAATCGAACACATGTCAAACTCCACTAACTCAGTGCCAAGGAACCAACTGAGCTGAGCTGCACCCATTGAGTCATTTTTTATTTCCATTCTCACTCCTCTCCATGGTTTCCCCAAGTAGAAATTCCTTATAAAGTATATTCTAGGAGCCCAAGTAGGACCTAGCATAAAAAAAAATGTACAATGGTTATACACGTGTTTTCTTTTACGATGACAAAAACAATTTCTTATTTAATTGTGATCCTTTATAATTAGGGAATAGTTCAAAAACTTCATGTGGTATTGCTTGCTTTGAATCACTTACATTTTTATGTTTTTTTTTTAATTACATCCCTCCTTAATATTGTTAGAAACTTGACAAATATACCTATTTTATCCTTCTTAGAACAAGAAAATAAAGTTATATAAAAAAAGATGAAAACTTAGAATACTTAATAAAAGATTAAAAGAGATAAAAAGATCAAATGTGTCTAAATAAAAAAATAGAATAAAGATAAAAAATAGAAAAAAAATAAGACCAAATATGTTTAAAATCCCAACAATAACAGAAAAGACTAAAAGTAAAAAAAAAATAGGCTGAAGACAAAAAAAAATAGAAAGAAAAAATAAGATAAAAAATAAAATAAAAAATAGAACAAAAAGAAATCATAATTATGAATTTTCAATATATTTAGTTTTTTCTATTTTTTCGTTTTTGTCCCTAGTCTATTTTATTCTTTTTATTTAGATATGTTTGATCTTTTTTATATCTCCATTTTATTCTCTCTCTTTTTCTAAATTTTTTTTACTAAAATCTTTAGTAGATGGGGTGGCACAAGACTAAAAAAAAGAAGAAAAACAGAATAAAATAGACCAAAAAATAAATAAAAAATAGAAAAAAGACCAAACATATCTAAATAAAAAAGAATAAAATAGACCAAGAACAAAAAAGAAAAAATATAACCAAATATATTGGAAACTAATAAATGTGATTTCTTTTTATTTTATTTTTTATCTTAATTTTTTCTTCTATTTTTTGTCTTTAGTATTTTTTTTATTTGGACTAATTTTAACTTTTTTAATTTTAGTCTTTTGTGTTACTGTTATGATTTTTAACATGTTTGGCGTTATTTTTTCTTCTATTTTTTTGTCCTTATTTTATTTATTTTTTATTTAGACACATTCAATTTTTTTTTCTATTCTTTATTTTAATCTTTTATGAAATATTATAAGTTTTCATAACATTTGGTCTTATTTTTCTTTTTTTATCACTTTATTTTTTTCTAAGAAGAAAAAAAAAATATGCATACTTAATTAAGTTTCTAACAATGCTAAGAAAAAGTGTGGATGAAAAACTCACAAGGGATTAAGTAATTAAAAAAAAAAAGAGATAAGTGATTCAAAATAATACGTTTTTCAACTTAAGTTTTCCTTTAAAAAATAAGTGAGGATGAAGGCAATATGAATGTCTAAAAGTTAGGGATGAATATAATAACCCTAATTATATGACTTTTAAATTAGAGGGTTATAATGATGACCTTATAGTCATAAATGGAATGAGCATAAAATTATAAGAATTTTGATACCCATATTGAGGTATTATGCACAGATGAATTTTCATTTGTCAAATTTGACTGCTGACGTAATAACAGTTAGTAGAATAGCTCCAAGTTAGCAAATTATAGTTAGAGAGCTAATCTAATGATATAAACATCATGAATGAGGTTAGGATATGATTTGGTGAAGATTGATACCCATATTGGGGTATTTTTGAAAAGTCACTTCTGCCGGGTATTTTGTACTGCTGTAGCAGCATCCGGTAGAATCCCGGAACAGGAAAAAGATAAGAAAATAGAAATAAAGACCAATATATGCCTAACAAGTCATAATTAGACCAAAAATGTTAAAGTTAAGAAGATTATGAAATCCGAGTACAGTTAAAAACACCGGTAAAGACTACAGTGCAATTAAACAACTGTTAGTGGATCTGTGACCTACTAATCAAATTTTTAAGTTATGAACATGATAATTAGACAAAATTAATGTTAAGTACTTAAAGTTAGGGTCTTGAGAGTTTTCGGGTAAAAATTTGACGACAGATCAGTTAAAAATTACACCGGGTCTCACTAAAGGACGAATATCACTTAAGTGACATGGCACCCCTCATTAGGGCACCCTCCTCTCCTTCCCTTCCATTTCTGATCAGCAGCCCCTTCACCTCCTTCTCTCTCTAAGTTTCAAATTTTGAAAACTCTCTCACTTCTCTCTAAGATTTCTTCACCTAAATCTCTCTAAACCACCAAACTTCCTTCACAAAGATTGTTCCCCTCACTCTCCTCTTCACAACCATACCATTTTCATGGTGTGAATCAAAAATTCCGTGTCCCTTATCATCCCAAACAGCCATGGTTTTGTGGAGAGCAAAGGCTATGGAGTTGTGTTCTTGAGCTCTCTTGAAGAATCACACTTGCTTGCTTGTTTCCTTTGATTTTTGGGTAAGTGTTCTTAAATTTTTTTCATGAAAAATATCATCTTTTCTTCTTATGTTCTTGAGCCTAACTCATGAGCATGTTCATGAAGGTGTGTGCTTGCCTAAAGGTGTGTTCTTGGTGGAAAAAGGTGGAGACTTGAGCTAAAGGAGAAACCTTGAAGATGTAAGCTCCCACTTGGGAAATATGAACCAAAAAGCCTCCCTTTTCTTGTTGAGTGCCTTGGTTTTGATATGTTCATGAGGAGAATGTTGTTTAAAATTTCGTAATGTCATGGTTTGATGATGATTCTTAAGTGTGTGTGTGTTTGGAACCATGGAATGATGGATTGGATGACTAAAGGTGCCACCTTTGGACCTTTGAGTGATGTTCATGTAAAAAGATGACTATGAACTCAAAAATGGACCATGAACATTTCAGCCATATCATGTAAGGATAGGGTTTGATGACAAAAAAATGTTATTAAGTTGTTAAGTGTGGAAAAATGATTAGAAAGATTAACTAGGTGGGTTAACTCTAAGTAAAACTCTCTAATCATGATTAATAATGGCTAAAAATCCTAATTAATATAGCTAATCAAATCTGCCCCATAAAGTACATAAGGGTTTAGTTGTGTTAAAATTAAGGAGATGATGAATTAGGTGATTAATTAAGGGTAGAGATTAATTAACAAAAGTAATCAAGGATTTAACTCTAAAATTGGACTAAAGTAAGGTTTAGGTACACTAATTAAATAATTAGTAAAATTTAAGTATCATGACATAATGGGACTAAGGATATTTCATAATGTGACTTAATAATAGAAAAATCCAAGAATTAATGTGAATTAGGATTTATAATCAAAAGTAATTAAGGTTTGTTAAGTAAACACATTTAAGGCTAAGTAACCAGTTTTTAGGCAAAATTGGGGAGAGCATATCTTCCTCCACAGAGATCATATAGGGATGTGCCTTATATCAAATTGACTATTGAGATGTTATCTACGTGGTGTCAAAATTTGGTATCAATTGAAGATATATTCCATTCTGTATGTTCGTTTGAGTGAGGACTGCACAGGGAGGCATGTGCAGGGGCGCTGTACATGGCTGACACTTCCATGAATTTTTTCTCCCTCAATTATTACTCAAATTAGGCTCATAATATGTCTAATTAAAGATAAAGGTGTCTAGTTGTCTACATAAAAATTTTAGAGCAAATTATTTAGTATAATTTTCATAATCGCAGAAATGGTAAAGGATGTTTAGGGCCCTGTTCGGAGTTGGCAAACAGCTTTGTTTGTCCAACTTCAAATGGTGATAACCGGAGCTAGGAAACTTCAAATGAGGCATATGATACCTTTTTGGAAAGGTAATTGAGTCTAGATTAACATACTAAAAGATGAGAATTTTATAACAAGTGAGTCACGCCCAGTAACTAGAAAACAGAAGCATGTACAGTTATGGAAAAACCGTAAAAGTGATATTTAAGCTAAGTGGGCTTATGGGAACCCTT